ACTGGCTGCCAATGCGTGGAAGTGCTGGTGCACTTGTGCGCTGAGTCAGGAGGAGCAGCGCTGGAGGAGAAGATGCGCTGGAGGAAGGAAGATGCCTGTATGCTGGAAGTGATGCAGCCATAGCTGCCCAGCGAGTTGACATTAGAAGTARAGGGTTAGTATGTAGCTATGAGTAGTATCCAGAGTAGATCCTCRTGAGTATTGAAGAGTGTATATGCATCATAAGAGGAAGGGATTGAGGCTGAGAGTGTTCATTCAAGGTTGGCTATGGAAGATACTTACCTGAGTTGGATGTGAACTGTAGAGGTGGCATTGATGAGTGGTGACCACATTGATGACTTGGAGACTATCTGCAGGGGTAGCACTGATTCACTGGAAGGCATATTGATGAGTTGGCAAGATATTGGTGTTGCGCTGATGAGCGCTGGACTCAGGGAAACTTTGAAACACTTTGTATCCATATTTTTGATAATATAAGCTGTGAAACTCGGTTCTCATCTTCTCTACCTATTATCAGACTACTGTTCGTTGTGTGTGGGAGAACGATGCATGGCATGTACACACTTGCGTGAGATGGTCTCCAGGACCCATGCAAACACAAGTTTTCGAGTTTTAATCAATATCTGTTGAGCTGATTATCCTTCTGGAAAAGATAGATTTGAAGTGGTGTATAACGTACTGAGTATTACATAGTTTCATTAAAACACGAATAGAGTCAAGAGGGGCCACATACCCAAACCCCCGCAGACCAAAAAAAATGGAAAAAAAAATGGTGGGAAGCCCCCCATTGTTTATTCAACGGGCATTAACGGGGGTAGGGGGAATTAAACGGCTTTTGACGGCAGTTTAACTCCCCCCCCTCTTCCCCCGGTTAAAAGAACACTCAGCGTTACAGAGGGGAGTTCTTCTTGCGTGACTGAGGGCATACTGGCACAGCCGCACAAGGACTTTCCTTTATGTATCAGACCACAATTACAGCTCGACCTGGATGAATCTAACCACAATAACGTCCACAGCTCGGTCTAAGAAGTCCTAATGTGCGAGGATGCTGATGCTGATATTCCACCCATGAGCTCGTCCGTAGGTAGAAAACTAGAGTCAAGGTCACACAAGGTCTTTTGTGACTGATGTCTGCACGTATCTGCAGTCAGATTCATTCCGTTAAGGACGTTGTTGGGTCTAGATACGGAAATGCAAGTCTTGGAGTGGGTGTGCCTTCAGCGTATCAATTTGCTTGGCTACGCGATTGCTGCATTCCTCTTTTGTATACAAGGTACTCCTGACAGACTCTGCTCGAACTGCTTGTCACTGCAGTAACTCCTTCTGGACATCATGACCGTTCAAATTGGAATGACACAGAGAAGATTAGCATGGCCCCTGCTCAAGGATGACACCTAGGTGTGTCTCCCTCACAAAAAAAAACAGAAGTGTAACGGGTACAAGGCGTTGTACGCGGGCACAAAACTCCCATTGTACTCGTTTGTACTCTAACCGTGAATGAATTGTCTGTGGCTGCAGGATTTACGGGGCTCAAAAAGAAAAAACAACGGGCAGAAGCCGCAGGAGCCCCCGAAGTCTAGTACCCAAGCAAAAAAAAAAAAGGTTTCTTGATGTGTTTTTTTTTTATTTTTATGAATAGTACTTTTTTGGCACGGAGAGAGAGAGAGAGAGAGAGAGAGAGAGAGAGAGAGAGAGAGAGAGAGGATGCGCGCTCTTCCCGAGCAAGAGGCAACCTCATTTCGGCTGCATTAGACCGGAAAGATAGCTTGTGTACATTCGTTATCAGGGTGCGCCCTGAAAACGAATGTATACAACCTGTCGCCCTCATAACCAATGTATACAAGCTACTTTCCAGTCTGGTGCAGCCAAAATGAGGGTGCAGCGTGTTTGGAAAGCACTCTACATTAAACTTGAGCATCCTTCCCACAACCCACCTACGAAAAAAAAAAAAAAAAAAAGAAACAAAAAAATCCTTTTTCGGGCCCAAACGGGCGTTGTACGCACTCGTACAAGGCCAGGTGCCCTGTTGTAGCGTACATAGCATACAATGAGACACCTAGGATATCAGACCTAAACCGAGATATGATCCAAAAAAAGAAGAAGAAAAAAAAGAGTGGTTGTGGCTGCAGCTCCGTTGACGAGTTCAGACTCTGAGATGGATTAACCACGCTGCACTGCATTTGCCTCCTTATCCTGGACTGTTGAAATAGAGACTTGAGCTGAGTCCACTGTCCAATTGTTTTCCATTGGGATATTTGCAGGTTCATTGAAGGCTGGCCTCATTCTCAGCRACGCAGCAATGGACCGGGCTGCCCTTAGTAACTTTGTTGTCTGGGTTCTTCTYGCTGGCCTGCTAATTTGGCCAGCTGGTGCTAGCAGGGACCCAGATAAGACGTGTGGAGGCACGGTATGCCCCAGTGGCATGAAATGCTGCAGCAGCGTTTGCAAGGAATGCTGTGGCAATGGGCACTGCCAACCTGGGAAAGTCTGCTGTGACGGACAGTGCGAAGATGGAGAATGCTGTCCTGGACACGCAAACTGCTGCAACGGCACGAGATGCACTGGTGGCACCAAATGCTGTGATGAACTGTGCAAGGCTTGCTGCAGTAACACGGACTGCAAAACTGGGGAGGTGTGTTGCAAAGGGCAATGCGAAAATCAGCAATGCTGCTCAGGAGACCCATATTGCTGCAACGGGCAGCCATGTCCAGCTGGCACTCGATGCTGCAATGCAGWGTGCAAGACTTGCTGCGATGACATGCACTGTGGCTCTGGCATGRTCTGCTGCGATGGACAATGCCAAAGTGGTGAATGCTGCCCTGGGAGCCCCAACTGCTGCGACGGAAAGACATGCGTTGCAGGCACCCAATGCTGCAATGGAGTGTGCAAGGCTTGCTGCAGTAACACGGACTGCGGATCTACAGAGGTCTGCTGT